CATCTGCATGGCTTCATCTTCCAGGCTCTGTCCCGTATGCCTGCGTCCGTAATTAGAATAGACCTGGGCCTGGTAAACGTCATGCACGGACTATCCTTGCCACGGTTATTCCGCAAGTGGGTGGTGTTTCCGGCGCTCGTGTCCAACAGCATCTTTGCATTTTGCGTCGAGAGTTGATGCCAAGCACGTCTCGAATACATACTTGGTACTAGTATTACCGACACTCCGGCAAGGCTGCTGGAATCATGGCTCGCTCTGGAGAACGAGAGGCTGGACCCTCATCACGTGGCCGCCCTCCACAATAGCCACCTACTCCTTGGGCGGCCAGATAACCGCCCCGGAATTATCCCTACACTTACGGGCTCTCAAGTCCCACGAAAACCTGCAAGTTCCACAGACAATTCCTCCTCTCTCGGCCTCGGCTGCGATCTGCCTCCTTTGGCACGTCATGTCATTGCCGCCGCGACATTTTTTCGATGGGTGTAGAGGCTTGATGCTGGACAAGTGCTGCGGCGGCCAGAGCAGCATCCCAGCCTCGTCCCTACATTTGCTGCCCTCCGGATCCCAATACTTCCCGCAAGCTTTGCAGACAGCTTGACCTGTCTCGCGCTGTGCCGTCGTCTGCCCTCCTTCGCACTGGATTCGGCCGGCTCCAGCGCTACACGTTTTGAATGGCCAGAGCAGCACGCCCGCCGCATCTCTGCATTTGCCCTCGTCGGGGTACCAGTTGGAGCCGCAAATACCACAGACAGCCTGTCCTGTCTGGAGCTGCGCCGCCGTTTGCCCGCCTCCACACTTGGTGCTGTCATGATGGACACACGTCGATTCAGCGGGCGGCTCTCGTGGCCAGAGAATTGCCCCCGTCTTGTCCTTACACTGGCCATCTTGAGGGGACCACGCCAGCCCGCAAACGCCACAGGCAGCACGTCCTATTTCGAGCTCTGCTGCGGTGGGCATCTCAAGCTCCATTGCCTTTTTACGGACCTTGGTACAAGCATCCTTCAGGTTCGTCTTGAGCTGTTGCTCGTCCGGCGGGGTCTCGTCAACGCGTTCGCAGGTGCGGAGAACGTCGTTGACGCTAATCAACCGCATCTTATTTCTCTTCCCGTATGATAGGAGCTGCAGGTCTTGTGGCCGCCGCCTTGGGCCCTCTAGTATCCAAAAGACCTGCTTAAAGAAGTTGATTAGCGCTGCCTGGTTGTCATTACCGCTGATGTCGTTCCGTCGCGGCCCTCCAATATACTCCTGGAACTCGTTAATACTATCGTCAAGCTCTTTCACAGCCCACCCAATCGGGTGATCCCACTGGCGCAGCTGGTTCAGCACGTTACGCAAATAGGGAGCCAGAACATTAAATCCCACCAATGTGCCCGCTTTTGCGTAGACACGGAAACCAGTTGCGAGTGATTTTGGCTTCGCCGGGTCCATCGGCCCACTGGGAGAAGTCTTTGGCTTGGTCGGTTTGCTTTGCGGCTGGCCAAGCTGCTTTATGCAATTGTCGTTGCCGTTGCCGGTACATACCGCGTCAATCATGTCGTCTAGACTTTTGCTCACAGGCAGTGTCTTGAATTGCTTCCAAGTGTCCTCGTCCCAAGCTGTAGACAGTCGAGGGAACCCAGCGAGCTGTGGTGCCTCGCCATTACCTCTTAGCTTTTGGAAGTTTGGGTTGAAGTGTGGGTTCTTGTGAAAGCGCTTCAACTGTCCCCTCCGCAGCTTGTCTTGAGTTTTCTTTCCGACTTTGGGGTCAGCAAAATCATGCTTATATGTGACTTCCCACCAGCCTTCAATCTGCTCAAATGGGATAAAGCCAATAGCTGCATGCTCGTTTTGCGCGGGGTATGGTGAGTATTTCCCAAGAGATCGATTTACATCAACCATCCTTTTGTCGGCGTGGATCTTGTAAATGTAGCCCTTCTCGCCTGGATCTTCGTCGTTGACAGCGAATGTAAGGGATGTGGCAGGGTCGGCGCTCGTCGAGACATATCGTGTAAACTGAGCCGTGTCTCCAGCCGCATGACGAAACAGGCTGCTGCCGTCTTCCAATTCTTCCCAGGACAGTTGATCCCCTGAGAGTATCCTCTGCATGCCCCGTGAGTAAAACCCCCCATCATTTTGAACTTGTTTTGGGGTTCTCTGTATCTCGCCGCGGTAGACGTGTCGCGGAAATTCGTCATCAAATCCTCCGGATTCAGCGTCTACGCCGCGACGCTCAAGTGTCGGTTCGAAGCTGTGTCCCGGCTTCAAGTGGCCCTGACACAACCCAAACAGCAGCAGCGGCGTGGCTATCGAGACCCAAGGACTCGCCTTCATCGTGAAAGAATGCGCAGGAAATCCCTATCACAACAGGGCCGCGGTGGCACTGGCAAGTACCCAAGTTGAAGGGTGCCTGTTTGCTTTTCGCGACGTAAATTGCAAAGGAACAAGCATTATATAGTGTACAAAGAATGCAGTCGCAACAAAATGTCAGGGCCACGCCCTCACCTTTTCCCCTACCCATCTCGAAGGATGTAAGCGAAGAAGGAACTCGAAAAGTGGGGGCATGGCAGGAATACTCTGGAGATGCTTGAATTACTACTAGGGTTGTGATCCGTTACCCAAGTCAAAAACTAATGATTGTATCTATTGATGCTCTCGTGTGTTCTTGTCGACCGGGGGGAGACTTTCTTGCCCCCGCCAGGTTACACCAGCGCACGCCGCTATGGCTGTACGTAATCCTACGCTTAAATGTCTGGTTGAGGGTAGTGGAATATTCAAATTCCATCCATGTGACGTTGTGAGGGTACGAGCAAGGTCGGGTGAGACTTGGATGAAGCGATTGCTCACAAGAACAGGAAGGGCTTCCCAAGAAAGCCCCAAGTCGAGCTATCCGAGTCCTAAAGTGGGGCCGTTTCCTTGCAATCCAGTTGCGACAAGAAAACGGTGAAGATGTAATGCTATAAGAGGAGTTGTAGCTGAATCAAGGCATGACTCCAAGCCTTCTATGTGCACTTATCACATCGTCTCTACAACCTTAGAACAACGACAAAAGAAGTCAATTAAGCTTTTTCGTTTTTTCTACATTCTACAGTTACCTTGACCAGCCACCCTTTACTTCCAGGCAAATAATGATGTAAGCATCGTGCAAGCACTCTATTAACACAACATGTCGGCTGTACTTGAGCCAGAAAACCCCAACAGACCACGTAGGAAGAATACGTTGGTAATCTTGAAAATCAAATATTACATGGATTATTGCACATTAGAATAACCCGAGTGTGCCTACTAGCCAAAACTCTAGATATGACAATAGGTCAGTAAGGGCTCAAAGCAATAACTTCCTTTATCTAATAACAGTCTTAGGTACAGGAGGTTCGCTGTTTGTCTCAAGACTTACCTAGGGAGTTAACTAAAAGGCTTTATTTATACGAGAAGTGGTGCGAACCTTTTGCCCTGGGTCCCGTGATCGTAGCCCTTGTGTAACCGTAGAGACTTGACACGCTTAGAATCCTTAGTGCCAATGAAGATACACCATGTTAAATAACAGTGCGCTGTGGAGAAAAGTGCTATTGTGGACATTCAAGGGCCAGGCACGACAGAATAGGCAGTTCTAGACAAAGGATAATGGTTCTAATAGGGCTAGTTGTATGGAGCATCATCCTAGAGAATGACTTTTGAAGGATGAAGACCCTATCAAACCGTATCTTGAAAGGATTCCTCCCACACATTTGCTCCCCACTGCGGTGCTGGTCCCACGGGTCACAAGGGACTCGGGAGTGGGACACAGCACGAGTAGGGTATTGAAAATAAACTTGATACATTGAATAACACAACAACCGGTGTCGAAGAGTGTGCGTTACACCAGGACTCACGGAAAAGGGAATATTTATATACTTGTATAGTTCTTTAGGTTTTTCTATTGTATTTAAAAGCTATTTATTACTTATAAAAAGTATAAGCTGTTAAGGCTTAAACTGGGACGCAAATAGAAAAGCCAATATACGTGGCGGATAGAGCTTGGTAACCCTGCCAAGGAACCTCCGTTCAAGGACGGACGTTGGTTTCACGGTAAAAGAGATTTTGCAGAGTCACAACAGATGGGCAAGAAAAAAAAGAATTTAAACCGCGCAACGCGGCAATAAGAGGACGGCCGCGCAGCCTCGGCATCATAGGGGAGCAAGTATTAAATTTTAACGAACCTAATCAATGCTCAGTTTCTCCCAAGTTGCACAAGGTACTTGTCACTCCGCCTTCTTGACATAGAATGAAAAAAGAGGGTCTTCATTGCCTTGCTCAGACATGTCCACCTCGATAGTCCCCAACTCAGAAAGGGAATAGACATCGACTCTGTTGTCGAACATGCCCGCTACTTGCTTCGGGAAAACCCACAACTCGCTCATCTTATCGTACCCTACAGGCATGCGGCGACCCATGACACATACGTAATCTAATGCTCCGGAGTTCTTCCCAAACAAGAGCCTGTCACTGCCAGCAACCTGACCAAAGTTGAAGGCTTGGAGGCTGAAAAGCGGCTTCTCCCCTGGCTTGTCGTCGATGTCTGTCATTGTTACACGGAAAAGGCCCAACAGATCGTGAAGCCCAACAAAGGGGCTTCGCCGATACAGGACTTATTAGTTACACAGCTAGAACACGTGCCCGGGCAAGGACCCTAGGCCTAGGCGTTCCTTTCATGTATATAAGGCGGTTACCCTCCTCTTCCTTTCTCGTAGCAACTCAGGACCTTTGACATCCTACGAGATTATTATTGAATTGAGCCCTTTTGCTCCAAGCCTTCATATTGAACCCTTGTCACAGTCATTGTGGGAATAGGGTTAGCGCTAGGGACAGTTGGCCAGGGACCATGTATCTTGTGGTCACTTTCACAGTGAGTGTAGAGGTTGTCCTTCACGCGAAGACGTCGTCCGAAATATGTCACTTTCTTGAGTGAATCCTTCCCCGACTAGTTAGCGCCAAGCTCGACGGGAAACCGCCATGTTACTTACCAAGACTTTCAAATGAAAATCCTAAGGGCTTGGGTACTGCGGTCTTGTCGCCGCGTGATCTGGGTTCGCAATGACTTTGGCAACCTGAAATGGTCGTTAGGAGCGCGCGCAAAGTCACAGCGGGGATGTGCTTTGAAGATACCCAGTCCTTGTACCCTGCCACCACATTACTTGCTTCATCATCCAAAGATGTCTTACTCTTTCTGCCGTCTACATAGTGATTTTCATCAACTGTGGTAACCCAGGTTAGAGACGGAGATGAAACGCTTAGTTCGTGGAATGGGAGTAGCATACTCGCACGGAGAGCAGTCTGAATGGAAAGGTATTCGGTGAAGTCGATGGCAACTGACCAGCTCTGTCATGTTTCAGCTTCACACAGTCGTATGCAACGTTGCCATGGAGTGTTGGCTTACCTGGATTGTCGCAACTGAGTAATCGAAAGGCTTGAAGTATTTGCGGGGGTCGAAACCGCGGATGTTGGTGTATTCATCAAGAATCGCACTGCAGATGTGTTAGCCTCAATATTTTCCGGTCGAGGTACGAACTGCTTACTATCGCTTCTCTTTATGCTCATTGGCTTTAATCAAAAATTTATCGGCGAAAGCCTTGAGTTGGAGGAGGCTGGAAGAAGGATCATCTACTTCTGGCATACTATCTGGAAAAACTCCAACATACACCATGTTTATTTTCACCTCGGAGTGTTTATGGATCTTCTCCATGCTGCTCTTCATCTCCTGCGTGACCTGGATTTCGGCTCCGTACGCACTGAATGCAACTTTGGCCCTATGCAGTGGGTTGTATTAGCATGAGAGCCATTGTTTGCCTTGGGGCACGGCACGTACGACTGCTCAATCTCTGTTTGCTCGCTTGAGTTGGTGGTGAATATGGACACCCGACCAAAGAGAGCCCCGCCAGTTACAAAGTCTTGAATGCTATTAGAAAACGGCCATGAAGCGACATCACCTGCGGCTGACATTACCACTGATGAAGCGATCGCCATAAGTTTCATGGGGGTTTTCCGGGTCTTCCCAATTGAACTTGTATTTCAGCCTTGCGCTTAGCTGTTTCTGAACATCGACCCTGACCAAATATGTCAAGAAACTTTGCTCAAACTGGGCATGGCACATGGTGAGAATCATGGAGGAATATTTTGCTCAGGGTTATACGCGACATATTGGGCCAGTGCAAAATTAGACCGGTTACATCCTCAGAGCAGCCCACGTGTTACCATAAGCATCGAATCTTCCACAGCAAGGACTAGGTCCGACTTCTGAAGATGTAGATTTTGGGCCGGGGATGACCCCAGAAGGGCCAGTTTATCTGATGGCAACCAGTCCAGAAACTAGCAAACAGGACAAGGGAACTTTGTCTCCTTCACCATAGAAGTACTATAATGATCCGCGTACTAGACATAGAAGATGGCGAGATTGGCTTGGTACAAAGCTCAGCGCCCTAGAGCCTACGTGAACAACCAAAAATACGGAATAGCAAAAGGCCCGCCCTTAGGATACAACAAGTTGAGTCCTTTCTGTACAACAAGTTGGCTCCCGACCACTGTTTCGGAGGATGTCCGAGACTGACTGTTATCACCCCTTCCCCTCCATTGAGGTCTTGGAGTTGTCTCTACAATTGTGGATTACCTCCTTATATGTCTCCCGACTCCTCTCATTTCTGTTACGACTTGAGCACCAAGAACTGAGACCTCACCAGTCCCCTCCTACTCAGCAAACAAGCGGCTTAAACGGTGAAACGCCTGTGGAAAGCCATGTAGTATATTAATCCTTACCAGCCTCAGAGAAGTAATGCAAGGCGCCGCCAACAAATGGCATTGACGTTGTAATACGTACAGCAACCCAGAGTTACATCAGAGTCTGTCTTGCCGTTGGTACTATCTAGCGTGACAGGCAAAAGAAAGCTGAAGCATGGTTCAAAGGACTGGAGTGAGGATAAAGACGGCAAAGAACAAGTCAATATAACCACCCCAAAATGCTAGAATCGCAAGCAATGCGACGGGATATTGGACGGGGCAGGTTATTATATTGTGCAGCGGATAGTCGTTTTCTATTGTCTTCTTCCGGTCTACGACTGGCACAAGTCATCTGCCGCCTGCAGCGACCGGCCGTTCAACCCCAGCGAGGGTTGCTTAGTCTTTCAGCATAGAGCTTGACCTGGCCATGTTTGGACACTTGCACTCGAAGACTCAATATGTCGGGTTAGATTCAGATATGTCTCGTTTGACTGGCGTGTTTCATGGACAGCATGGCCGTTGTGCAGGCAAGTACGTACGCTCTGCCGAGTTTGTATTCACTACCTGATGCAAACCATCTCGTTGCTCTTGTTGAGACGACAGTTCAACTAGCAATTCTTGTTTGGAGTCCGATCTTACCCCAGCAATTCAGCCCACATAGCCACGACTCCAGTGTGATGATTTTGGAGGCGCTAGTTAAGAGTTCCAAGAGGAAGGAGCGACAAACCACAGAGAGGGTGTGGAGAGACAGATGTATAACCTCGCCGGGGGGAGAGTAGGAATAGAGGATGTCTTTAAATGTTGCTGGACAGAATGTTTACCCAAGAACCATGAAATGTTGGATGTTGCGCGCGGGTAGTGCTAGCATCTTTGAGTCATGGAAAAGGAGACCGTAGTAAGCAATTAAAACGCGATGAGTTACTGACAAGGGTGGGTTTCCTATGGACATCTCGGCGGCTCTGGTAAGAGTCCCGGTAGGCGCAAATGCCTCTGCGCTGAAATATAGATGTACTTCTCTGCCACGGGCATAACAGTCGGTGTAGCCGAGTTTCAAATGGCGCATGGTGTCAGGGTAGATGGTTTTCCTGAAGAGCCATTCAGCCAAAATGCCAAAAATGAAATCGTGCCTTACTTATGTGTCTCGGGTTGCTCCCGCATCTGCTATAGCCTAAATCTCTTTCCGCTTGTCGTGCTTACAAAATTTCGTACCATGCAGTCTTGTTAAGGGAACTAGATGCCCGTATCCTAGTTGCTGGCTACTCATAACGTAGGTTTGTCTTTCGTATCGGACTTGGCAATTTCGTGCATGTTCGACCATTTTCGAGATTCCATATCTCGATTCCATGTAAAGTGTGCAATCCCAAGCTATGTCAAAAAGTAACTTCTTTGGCACATAGCCCATTCTCTTCCCACTGTACTGCTGGGAATCGCATGCTTCTAGTGTCACTCTTTGCCTGTCCTGCTTGTCTAGTACAACTGACCGATAATGCTGACTGGCCCATAGACTGACTTGGAAAATATCGAAAACAATTGAAACATACATATAGGACTGAGACTCGGAATTCGATATAGAATGACTGTGGTTGGGCTAATATTTGTATGCATGTCGTAGCCCACCCAGATGCCATTCCCCTTGCCTAGCAACAGTATATACATGCTCTCAAGACACCTGCAAGCGTCTTCACAAACATGGCGAATAGCATTCTGGTGGCATTGAAAGGTAGCTGGCTGATCCCAATGTGTAAATCTGTACTTGACATAATATGTGTCCAGTAGACTCGCCACAATCTGTGTATGTTATGCGGGCTTGAAAAAATACCCACTGACGACGGCAAGATTACATAATGTCAATTGGAAATTCGCCAAAGTATACATGTTCGCTCGTCCCTTTTACACAACATAAAAGAGATTTCTTAGTATTGATCAAGCAGCTTTTTGACTTTTGAACTTTTGACTCTAGACAATTCTCGAAGCTACCTTGTATTTAGCAAAATTTGAAACAGAAAGCTGAAGCTACCAATGGAGAGAGAGATCAACAAATAGCATACGCCCAGTGGGTAGTGCTAGAATTTATCAACCGTATGAGACAGAGTGATCTTGAGATCAAAAACGCGTCGCTCCGTTGGTGAGTGTTGTCCATCCCTTATATGGTTTTGACATCTTTCTTACTTGGATTAAAGGGGCAAATTTTATCTGGATGACGATAAGGACCTTGAAATTTCGGCAACGGATGTGGATAAAATCTCTGCTCCTCCTGGATATAGATGTACTGTCTCCTCATGCGGTCGAGAGCGTTCATCATCAGGAACTGAAGGAGATCTTGACCTCTATGACGGGAATACTAAGATCTGCAAGGTCTACTGGGACTGTCCTTGGGGAGACCCCAACAATTTTTTGGAGATTCGGGACTATGATTCCTCAACCTCTGATTATGTTGTTATTCTTGGGCCTTACAATACCAGTGGTGGTGCTCTTGGTAGAGTCGATATTACAGTGTCAAAACGAGTCAAAACGAGGTTAACCACATGGATGCGCGCGAGTGGCCTCGCTGTGGGTTTTGTCCTGAGCGAGTTGGGTTTTCCCACATCTTTTTTGCAAATGCAGAGGTCTGGTTCTGCTGTACGGATAGGCAATTTATACTTGAGGCGTCTTTTTACCGTCGTGCGCACTTTGCCAGGCATGGTGTCGTGAAGAAGTGGTGTAATAGTAGACATTGCTTCTGCCAGTGCAAACTTTCATTTCGGAAACCGAATATATTAGACGGCCGAAGCTGGCATCTTGGCGTCGCCTTGAAGCAGCGGTATAATAATGATATGTTCCGGGCCAGCCACGAATAACTCACATCATGGGGATCCAACAGTAAAGCGAGCTGGTCCTGCAAGAAAACAAAAAGAAAAAAAGAATTCAAATATGCCATCTCTTTGGCCTTCACCGGGGCCGTAAAACGGCCGACGGCAACGCGCACCACACTCAATGTCCCAATGCCACCAATAACAGACTTGACATTATTTTCTGCTCTGCTTTGCGTCGGAGCGCGACTATTCCATATGGTTGTCTTACGAGGGCCATCTTCTCACCGTCATGTAGACAAGACGGATCCTCGCCCGCGCAACCAAGATCTACAGGGTCTGGTCCAGCGAACTTGATAACAGTGTGATTTGCTGCCACGGTTGGGGGACTGACATGACTTGTGACGTCCATGACCCATTCGATGCCTTGCCCTTTTATTGACCGGACTTTGCCCCCGAGACCAAGGTGTTTGGATAATATCCACGAATATCTTGTAGTATACACGAATATACTATAATATAAAGAGTCATGGTTGGGTACTTGATCTACACGGCCCAATACGTCGGGCCGAGAATCCGTCAAGCACTTGCTAAACACTGTCACTATCCTCCTTCCTTGGTCCTGGCTGTCGTCCAGGAGAGCCGTGGTAAGAAGCAACGCGCCGTGAATCAGGAAGGAGGTGCCTCGTGCTCTGTGTAAACATAAACAGACGCATCCCACGTTTGTGTCGGAATTTCTTCTTTGCTTCTTCTTCTCAAATCGGACCGTCGCCATAATGGATGTCGTTATCGCCAGCAGTGTTTGCGCGTAGTGCATGTTTATACTTGCGCTCCTCACCTATCTCGGCTCGGAAAACCTCACACGGCTCACGGACCGACTCTTACGCTTGTTACACTTTATGACGCCTCGCTTGCCGGCCGTTCGAACCTGCGTCTCCAAGCGGTGCGTGCCCGGCCCCCTCCCCCCAGCGCTGACTTTTGTTTTTAGGGAGCCATTCCAGTAGGGCTCGTCAAATAATTACTGGGGGAGGGCCTGGGACTAGGGCCTGAACCAGCGCTTGTACCTCATCGTGGTGGTTCAGTCCAGTAGCCTGCTGAAGTCAAGTACGTAGTCTCAAGGTACCAGACTACAGTGGGTGAAGCCAACACAAGCAGTCGTGCTCGGCTCTGCAGACCAAAAAGGCATGTTTTTCTCCAGATGCACAAATGGATACGTCTGATGGCTAACCATTCTATTCTTGGACTCGTGCTTTCTTTCAATGTGCCGCCGCTTGATGGTGTCGCTCTCCCGTCGTCGTCTGCTGTACCAAGACCCACCACATTTGAAGCCATTCACAAAGCTACGAGAACTTATTCTACATTTTACTTTCTGCGAATCGCACCAAGGCTACGCGGGTGCAAGTCGGTCTTTTTGTGGCTTTTCCCCCACGGTTGTCCCAAGGCAATATAAAAGGACAAGGCTTCTCTCCCCCTGTCCCTCGCCTACAAAGCAAACCAGACCCGGCCGAGATGAAGCTCCTGAAGCGCTTGTTCTGCCGTGGTACGACAACCAGGCATAAAAGGCCACCCCAAGATGCTGCGACGCTGCTAC